GATGCACATCAAAGTCAGATAGAGATAGTGTTTCTCTCATGTATGTGTGGTCATATATTTTGTTCCCTAAAGAATGTGCCTGAAGACCAGAACACAGAACAAGCCACTAGAGTAAACATAGAGGCAAGGAAGTGGTGGCAAACATCTGAAATCCCATTACTTGGGAAGCAGAGATCTGTGTTTATCTCTGAGCCTTCAAAGCTTTGCTGGATTAGATGGGATTGATTCATTCTAAGGAAGAAACAAAGCCAGGCATTATTGGAATACACCTTTAATTCTTGTACTTGGTGGTCATTTGCCTTTAATACCTGCACTTGAGATCATACACATTTAATCCCAGGATTTGGGAAGCACTTATGCCATTAATCCCAGCACTAGAAAAGAAGTGATGGCTGGACACACTAAGGTATATAAGGCCAGAAGAAACAGGAACTAGAGACTTTTCTCCTGGATAGCTTTTGGCTAAGGACTCAGAGACATTCATTCAGAGGATTCATGGAGTTGGTAGAGTGAGACATGGCAGTGTCATTCTTTTGTTTATCCCATGTATCAGAATTTAAGCCAAAATCAGCTTCCGATATTTCATCTTTAATTAAAAAGTGCATCTACTATTTGTACACAGTTAGGAAATTCCCATAATATGTTAAGCAAAGTGTCCAGTAAAACTCAGGTATTTTACTCTATCCACTCACTTTGCCTTTGTCCTAGAATTGGATGGCAATAAAACTGCCATATTTTAATTTGTATATTCTAATAATATTTCCAAGTTCTTCATAATTATGAACAGTTAGTTTGCTGATATATCCATCTACATTATGGTGTAGACTATGTTCAGGAAAGCATAAATTATTTTGATGGATATTCCTCAGAAAAGACATACGTTTTGTGATTACACAAGTAATAACTTCATAAATTTCCTATCTCTGATGCTATCCATGTTTTCCACCACTTTCAAACATGGTTGTCTGTTCCTAGATCAAAATATAGGATCAACCCAGTATCTCCACACTTCTTTCCATGTATCTCATACATTGCACAAGAGCTATACTGAGGAAATATCCTAGACTTCAAAATATCGAAATATGAAAAGTTATGTACTCTCTTCTTCTTTTAAAAAAATAATGTCATTTTATCATTTCATAGCATGATCAAGCTTCTATTGACTGCTTCCTAATCCATTTATATAGCTATTTTGTTTCTAATACACTCTTGGCTCTGTTATTTTCAAACTGCAGGTAACAGCACCTAAAAAATATCATTAAAATTGATAAATTTACCATCATATCCACTTGTCATAAAGAATTGTAGGTGCTTCAAAACACTTAGTAATCAGCCCCATGGTCTAATCAAGTCTTACACAGCCTTTCTGGTAAAGCAAGCTCAGGTCTCACATCAAAATTCTTTGGGTTCCCATATATGTTACTGTTGGATCTGGGCATCAAATGTCTCTAACTAGAGTCTTCCATCATGGACTAGATGGGAAATAAAGCAAGGATGTGCAGTTGGGGTCTCTCTATATGCCTGGCAGGTTTGGGTGTACTATTAGTGATGTTACTTGACTTCACCTCTCAAACCCAGAAAGCATCAATATTCTATGTTGTAAAGAAGGCAGAAAAAATATAACAGATTCAGAGGTGGTAGATGAATCCATAGGAACAGTGTTATTTAAATTCCAACGTATTATAAGACAGAGGAGTTCATAGGTGGAGGTTACAGAGACAAGATCTGCACACTTATAGAACAAACCAAAAAATGGAAACAAATAAACAAATTATAACCAAGAAGAAATGGAGTATGAATTATTTAGAATGTAAATATAAAATGCCATCCACTCAGCACCAGTAAATCGTAGATTTGCAACAAATCTCATGTCTGGCCTCAGGAAATAAAGATGAATGGGCTAGGGCTTTTAAATGGCAAAATACAAGGAGACATCGAATCAAGCTGCGAAAGATTAAACTGTGATGACATATTGCAAAAGGGTGATCAAAACAATTACTTGTACTACATTTAATTGTGAAAGCATGCCTTTTTATGATAGTTAAGATTTCTTCAAAAAATGTCACTAAATATTATATATCTAAAATCTAGGGGTTGGTAGTGAACACTCACTATGCCGTAATAGTTCCCACAGTATCTTTCCAGGTTGAAGAAAAGAACCTGACTCTGCCAGTATCTGTCATATACTAAGGTATGCAATGGACAACGTTCCTAACAGATGATACAGCATTTCAAGTCTGACACAGCAATATCAAATCTTAACAGAGAAGCAGTTGCTTTAGGAGCAGGATGCTACGTCCTGCACAGGAGACAGAGCAGGTGACTAGTACTTATAATCCTCGGAATCAAACAATCGCTGCTTTTGCTGGGATTTCCACAGGCTGTGACTCCTGTACATGTCAGGAGCAGTCTTCCTTGCCTATCCAATGTATAGTCGGGCTTTAGCCACACCCAGGACCCACTGTGTCCTGGAATATGGCCAGAGCCTGACTGGTAAGAGCTCACAATGCTGTCTCTTTTATAAGCACTCCTTGCTTCTGATTGAAGGACAGTGTCCATTCAAATTCATCGGAGAATAAGAACCAATAAGGACAGTGATCTCCATTCCAGCATTGGAAGCAAATCCTGAGGTTACCTTGTAGATGAACACAGGAGCTGTTGAATCATTCTTGTCAGCCTCTGAATGAATACATGTAGCAGCAGAAGCAGTGACTGAAAGTGGATGAGAGGGAAAGAACGAATGTGATGCTGAGTTCTCACTCCAATTATTAAAAGGAAAAAAAAGTGTGGCAAGTGGTGGGTGTTCATTTATCCCTCTGCTTGTGTCTACATCCTGCCAATCTACAAAAGCTTCCATTTCTTCCTAGAGATGGACGACTATTATTCTCTGGAGTCAGTTGCTACTTGTTGCTGACAGTTTCTGATATGACATGTTAGCTTCCCCAACAGAAATGATGAAATGCTTGAAATTCAGTTGTTACAAGAACAGTATA